CAACTTGCAGAGGGGTTTGTTCACACCCATAAAACTGCAAACAAATAATTGGGGGGGAAATAAAATCAGTGTATGATTATAGCCAAGTTTAGCCAAGGCAACATAGGACAGAATTAAGCCTCATCCGAAAGCAGGTCAGGGCTCTCATATATTATTTTTTGCCCCTTAAAGCTGGAGTGATAATTGCATGATGAAGGAGAAAAAACAAAACAAAACAAACAAAAAAACCCAACAAAAAACAAATCAACAAAAGCAAAAAGACAGGCACCCAAGATATCTTTGCATGAGCTGGTCCTCTTGAATCAGAACTCCGGAATTGTTCTGCAATCTACTCAGCGGACAGTTGCCATCTGTTTATGGAAAAAAATGTTAATAACCCCCAATCAAAATCAAATGGGCAACTGCTTTAAGTACCTTTTAACTAACACTAAATTACAATGGAACAGCTCTGCAAGTACTTCTGAAATCCAGAGGCACATCAGCAGTGCCAGCACTTTGATCAGGGATGTTAGAGCAAATATCAAATGAACTGATAGTGATGTGATTTCTCAAACATTACAGAAAGCGTGGGCAGTGTTTATTTACTGTTCGTTCATTTCTCCCCCACCTCTTTCCTGTTTGTGCCTATTCAGAAACAAAATATATATATGAATGTGTACAGATGTACACAGTACCCACCACAGCAGACCCCATGAAAGCTTTATCCCCTGTGTTTTGTTTTTCTGTCCAAGGCAGAAATTCCATATGAATTCTCTGATGTCCAGAAAGGCTTAAGGCACTTTTGTTGGTGCAGCATCACCTGAGTTGTCATTCTGTTCAGCTCCCTTATTTCCATGATGCCTGAAAAGGCGTCTCCAATTCTCTTCCCTCCCCTCTGGCTGAAACACAGATCCAAAAGCTGCAGCACAAAAAGGGAAAATCCAGCCAGGCAGAGCTGTGCACACATGCCTGCATGTGCGCAAAGAGGCAGCATAATCACATGCCTTATTTCTTTAGGAAATCAGATTAAAAATCAATTGACCCTTTGCCAGCTGTAACCAAGTCTGAACCATTAGCTGGTGCTGTCTCCACCCGAGGAAGAAAACCTCTTTTGGAGAATGCAAGTAGTTTTTAATCTCAGAGCCTGGAAAGCAGTTCATCTCAACAAAACGACAAGTGCTCTTGTCTCTGGATTTTCTCTAGCACCTTTCTCTGCATATCTCAGCTAACTCAATTTGGTTTTTATTGAAGTTGTGCAGCACCAGGAATACATCACACATATATGCACGAGCACACGTTCTTTATCCCAAGGCACTTGCAAATATAACAGAAAACAAGTAAAAGGAGAATATACTGAGCCCCTCAACCTCAGCATTTACACTGCCTCCATAGCTGTGCCATCCAAATGTTTTGTGTGTCACAAAATTTTTCTGTGCCGTTGCTGTTCTTTTATGAAATCTAATTTTTGTTAGTCCCGGGACTTGCATGTGGCTTTTTTATTATATCACAAAATTTCATTTCCTGTCATCTGCTGGGATTAAACTCTGATTGGAAGACACAGTTTACAAGACTTGTAGTGACAAACCTGACCCCAGAAGGTGAGTTGTAAATCCCTTCACGTTGGGTGGGCAGTCAGGGAACGTGGGACACCGAGACTAGAGTTGGAGCAAGCAGCAACTGAAAGCAGGATGTCAGGCTCCTTACTCCTGCAGTATAACCCACCAGAAAAAAAATATTCCCCTGAGACACGCAGTAAACCAAAGGATTCCAACTCCCAATTTCTTGTTTGGCAATACCCTTTTCTTTTTCCTACAATAATAAAAGGTTTTAAAAAGCATCTCATCCCCCCCTTCAGAATACATCACCCTTCAGCAAGCGGCTGCAGTCCATTTCTGAAACTTCAATGTGTCTCAGTTTTAACATTCACTTTTCCCAGTGGTTTTCCCTCCACTGCCTCTATGTTGCCCATGTAACACCACTTTTCACAAAAAGGAGCTTTGTTTGCCATTTCCCTGCCGCCTCCACCAGCCCAGCTCCAGCGATCTCCCAGCTCCCCCCAGCTGCCTCAGCCCACCCCCTGTTCCCTCCCAGCTACGGGAGCCAAAGCCGACAGGCGGCCAGAGAGGGGATCTGACCTCCGCCGTTCCGTGTTAATGAATGCCCTCTCCGGGGGGAGCAGGGGAAGGCGAGGGGGATGGCGCAGAGCCAGCCTCCGCAGGCTCAGCTGAGGAGCACAGCGTGTCAGAGCCCCTTTCAAAGGAGCTTTTGTTGGTGCCACCGCTCCAGCCCGTCGTCGGCACACTTGGCACCGCAGGCTTTCCCACCGCTTGGCCGCTGCTGGATCAGTAACTGGGTCGTAGGCAGAGCGGTGGCTCTGACAGGTCTCTGGTGCAACATTCCGAGGGTGTGCTACCAGCCAGAAGAGGACAAATATGGACACACCGTCCTCTCATAATCCACAGTTGTTGTGCCTCAAGACACAACAACTTTCTTTACAGCAAAGGCAACTGGGATGTTGAACACTTGGCAGCCCATTAGTCTGGTTCTAAGGCTGGTGGGCAACCCAGCAGGCTAGCCCAGGGGGCCTTCCAAACTCAACGTGACATCCAACCTTGTCAGTCCAAGTTCACTTCTCTCTAGGAAATAAACCATCTGCTTAACACTAGGAGAAACAGAAGGAAAAAGATGTTCTCAGAAAGACTCATGAGGTGCTGTGGGTAACGTGTCCAATACGAGTACACAGTGTTCTGCATCCGTGACAAAAAACAACAGGAAAAACCTGCTCCTGCAGGCCTGCCAAGCTGGGATTTCAACAACAAGTGGCAACATATCAGCTGGCGGTGAACAGCTCCTGAATCAGGCAATGATGCACTTTCCCAAAAAGACTCAGGGTCTGGATTTTTTTTTTTTCTCCTCAGTAAATGATAACATGCTGGTTGCCATAAAGGACAGCTCCTGCCCAAGAACTGACTGATAATGAGGGACTCTGAGGAAAGCCTGATGCAAAAAAGGGAAACACAGGCAAAGCCTGGCGGTATAGCAGCTGACAATGATGTTAGGGCTGAAGAAAATAGTGAAGGTAGAAGAGATGCTGGGGGAAAACAGGAGGCTCAGAGTAAGTAAGATCATGTGCTAGGGAGACTGTCCACAGGGCATGAGAATTCTCAACCTCCAACAGGGAGCAGAGTTTGGGTAGTGTGAGTAGGCTGTTCATGGTGGTGCCTATGACATTTGTAACTCATTAAAGACTTATCTCCCCATTTTTTAAAGATGTATTTAGCTTCTGTCAACTCCATCTCTCCAAGCAACATCAATAAAACTTGTAGAAACTTTGCAGGGTTGTGGTTTCATATCAGAATTGGAAGAAACACCAAATAATGAGGAGAAAAGCAGGCTTTTCTGGTTAAACAATTTTGCCTCCCAAAAATCATACACACAAGGGCCCATCACAGCACCCCTCTGGTTTCTGGGAATGCAAAATATCCACTGACATGCTTATCCAAACACCTCTAAACACATACACACATCTGTTCACCAAGACTCATTACTCACATCAGGCTCACTTCACTCCTCTTTGATTCTTCCATTAGGGTCAGATGTTACTTTTCCTTTTTATATTTGTATCTCTAAGCTCCATCAGTGGCCCAAGCACTTCCAAAGTGTTCTGACAAATCCCTCCAGAAGGCACGTAACATCATCCCAGTTTTACAGATGGGAAAATTAAAGCAGAGACAGAGGTTAAGAGAGCTAATTGCCTATGGACACTGAGTCAGTAGAAGAACTGGGAATTGATCCCAGGAACCATGTCTTCCACTCCTCTACTCCACCCACTAGTCAGTACACCCCACCAGATGGTTCTTATCATTGGACATATGGACTAAATATTGCTAAGTTGGTGTAGAGGATTCACTACTTAATTAAATGTCCTGTCTTCTATCTCCATAGGATGCATAGGAGAAACTCCAGCCAGAATCCCATCTGGAGCCACTCAGGAAATGTCTACGTAAAGCAAACAAAGCCCTGGGCAAGCACAAGGAACATTCCCAAACCTACCAACCTGCCCTGCAGTGCAGACCACAGCAAGGGCAGGAAACAGGCTCTGACTCGGGAGCCTTGGGAGAAGCTCATGTTTGTCAAAGCCTGGCTTCAAACAGTGTATGCATAAGGCACCAATTAGGCTGGGAATTACTTTGTCATGTGAAGGCTCTTCCTCCAGCCTTCACTGGGCACCACCAACGCTGCCCAACTGGAGATACCAGCAGAGTCACAGAAAGCAGATGGCACAGAATCATCTACTTCTGGCATTAGCTCTGTCACATCACAGAGCTGGTGTCGGTAGGACGGAGAGACCAGTTCTGCCTGGCAAATATCAGATGCCTTCTCACTTTCCAGTCACTGTCAAGGACACTTGAATAAGTTTTTAAAGTCATTATTCATGACACAGAGAAGGAAACCTTTCATCAGAGAGGCAGCAGAAAGAGACCTTCCACACCACTGCCTTCCCAGTATGGACATTGCAAACTGACAGCAGTGTCTCTGTCCCCACTCACAGTCACAGAGTGGATGCACTTGCCTTTTCAACAGAACCCAGAACAATTTCATATCCTTCTGTCCCCCCTTCACACACTGTGCTCTGGAGCCAGTGCAGGGGAAGCCCATGCAGCACCACGTCCACAAAACAGGTTTCACCCAAGAGCATGCTGCCCTGAGTACAACTCTCTCAATTCATGGCTGGAGTGAGCCGGCTCAAAGCTCTTCTGGGCAGCCTGTAGATGCAGTTATGTACTGATAAGGAACACACATGCACACTTCTGCCCGCAGAAGCACATACAGGTGAGAACTGCCAGCCTGCTTATCTCCGTCACTCTCTCAACAAACTGAAGAGGGTTACGTTCTGTTTAGAAGGCTTTGCACCAGCATGGGCAATGTAGGAATGAAACCACAACACCTTTCCACGTGTGCTATAAGAGCCGGGCAATCCTGGAAGGTGCCTCCTGCTAGAGGAAGGTGACTGCACCTACCTTTCATCCCAAACTTGGACCGCCGGCCATACTTGTTGATCATAATAAAGAGGACGACCAAGAGGACACAAGCAAAAGCTGCCAGCCCAACCGCTATGGAAACCTGGAAGGAAAAAGCCTTAGAGTCAAGAGAGAGGAATTTAGGAGTCTAAACTGGAAATACAGCACCTCCTTGCCCACTTAACCTTTCTGTAGGCTCATACCATCTGCTGCAGCTCTGTGGATATCAGCTATGGAGGAAAACGCAAGCTAAACCAGAGGGCTCTGGCACAGCTTGGAAGGATCACAGGCTGTTTTCAGGACTGGGAGGTCTGGGATCTTCCCATCAGTGACACTGTTTGGCAGCAGTTCTCCCCAGACCCTCCATCCATATATCTGCAGGGAAGAAGGATCTCTGCTCCAATGCCTGCGCTCATCACATCCCAAGCCTCCGTTTCTGACATCAGCACTGTGCCATGACCTTACAACACCAAAGCTTGACCTTACAAACCTCAGCTGGGAACACACAGGAGCAGCAGAAAATTCTTTAGAAAGAGCAATTCTGTTTCCATCCAAACATCCTTCAGGACAAAGAGTGAGGAAAAATAACATACCACAGAAAGAAAATAGAAAAAATTAAGTAGAACTGATTTTTTTTCCCCCTAAAACATCTGGGTTTCCAAAAGCCTCTAATGGTTCCCTATTTATTGTAATTTTTAGTAGTAAATATTGATACTACAGCATTGTCCAAGCCCTTCCCTGGAACTGTGATTTCACTGTGGCAGTGTGCAAGCAGAGGAAAGAAAACCTCCTTGCCCTAAAGGGTTTACAATCCCAGGCTTATTTTAATATTTATGAATATTTATTCCTTCAAGTCTTTGCTCGAGATACTTTTATTGCATTGATATAAACAACAATTTCTCTGGCATTTGTCCAATTGTTCTGTACTGGGCCTTGTGATGCATTTAGACTTTGCTTCCTTTTACAAAACTGCATTCTGCTATAATAGAAAATACATCATTTAACCAAGAAAAAGTAATTTCATTTTGCAACCCTTTCCCCGTTCTCGGTACATTTGTTATGATATTTTTAAATTTTTATTTTAGCACACTCTATTTTCATCCCCAGCTTGTTTTCTGTGTTTTATATTTAATAATCAGTGCACATTATTACTCCAGCCTTACTGTTCAAAGCTTTCACTTCAGCTGGATGAGAACTGAAATCACTGTGGACTGAGTTTTGTTTGTTCTGGTGGGTTTCAGTACCTTAAAACTTTCACATAATTAGAACAATTGTGTAACATGCTAATTTTTCTTTTTCTACCTGGATTCTGCAGAAGAAAGACACTGTTGAGATCTGATAAGCCCTAGGCTTTCTTTCCTTTTTCATTTTAGGCATGCCCTGCACAGCAGGAGGGAGGGCAAACAGGCATTGACAGAACTGAACCAAGATAAATCTGAGTCCGTCACCCTGCAAAACTTAACAGATCAATAACAGTCTGAAACACATGATTGCCTGTTTGTTTGTTCTCTGGGTGCTACTTTTTTAGAGTGAGAATTTCTGACCCTGCCAGCAGCGACTTCATAGGATGCCTTGTTTTCAAAGAGTTCCCAGGTCCCACACTGCAGACCCAAGAGGATCAGATGGTTCATGTCATGTATTTTACCTGTCTGACACACAAGCCACAGAATCCTTCTGATTGCTGCCTTGAGTCATAAAGGAAGAGATTTTCCTTGCAAACACTCAAAACAGCAGGGGAGTACAAATATTGAGTCATCAATTACAAGGAATGCATGCAAAACAGTTCTGTAGAGCAGAGATCAGGACTCACCCCAAAAGTGTCCTCTTCTGGTTTGTGGGTCACAGTGATCGGTGGGGTGGGACTCACTTCATAATCCCCGACTGAAACCAAAACACCAAAGACAGAAGATTCAGTGTGACTCCCAGCGGACTCCCAAGGCACCCAGCACATTCCAATGGCCCGACCTAACGAGATCCAGTTCACCCCTAAAAGAGGCTGCAGCTTTCTATTTCAGAAGGCACAAATCAACCATGAGAGAGTTCCTTGTGCACATCAGCAGAGAAAACACAGACCAGCACTATGCTGATGTCACTCCAGACTTACAAATGGGAAACATGTGGGAGCCTTGTGTTTCAGAGTGGGTACCCTCCACTCTTGAGCCATCTCCTAGTTTTCAAATATCTACTGGGCTAAGTAGGATTAAAACACGAGTGCCTTCAGCAGAACTTGATCAGAAGAAACAGTAACTTGGATGCTTTTTTGGAATTTTTTGGGGGGTTGGTTTTTTTGGGGAGATGTGGGAAGGATGTCTTGTAAAAACACTACAGAATTTGATTCCTGTTTCTCATCCCAGTCCACCCTAGAAAGATGTCACTGAGGACTGGGCAGCCTGCATCTAGTTAAGACCCCCTTTGCTACACCACAACCAACCACCATTTCCTTTACAGGACCTTCTTCAGGACATTACTAGATGGAAATGAACATCTCCTGGTCTCTAGAGATGACTCAGTTTATCAAAAGCTCCCCAGACACCTTGTTCATTCATGGGGAAGGCAGGGCTTTGTGCAACCTCCACGAAACTGCTTCTGGCTTCCTGATTTTTCCTCCAGGAATATGTAAATCACAGAGGAGCAGGAGAAAACCACAGAAACAAACCAGCCACAGTATGTAAAAGGCAAGGAGACACTTACTTGAGACAAAGTTGTCTGTACTCTCTGTGGAAAGGACAAAGAGAGAAGCAACACAGTCAGCAGCACAGCAAAAGGAGAGGGGTCTCATTCCCAACCCACCTCAGACACATTTCACCACCTCAAAGAGCCCAGGAAACCAACTTTTCGTATTTTTTCCTCTTGGGCAACTGTAACTTGAAACTGCAGTGTATGTGCTAGCAGGACATGCTGGAGGTCAGGATGGAAAGCCCTGGGCTGAAAGAGGAGGGGAAGGATACTACTGTGAGGCCAACAAGGAGAACAAGTGGCAGCACACTAACCACTCTTTTGAACGATTGTTAAACAACCTTGCTTTCAGCAGGCGAGCAAAGCTCAACAGACACACAGGGCTGGGCAGGATGGAGGTGGAGGGGAGAGAAGCAGATTTTGCCTTACATGGCAGTGTTCACCCAAGGACAAAGTCCTACAAGGATCAACTCCCATGGAGGAGAGCCCAGCTTGGGGCAGGGGTTTAGAGGAGACCTCCTCTGACCTCCTTTTCATGAACTGTTCATAGCAGCTAACAGCATCTGAACGGGACAAGGAGGCTGTGGCTGTCCTAGAGATGCCTCTTGCCCAAGACAACCATGCCAGTCCCTGCTGTCAGCCTCTTGACTGCTCCAGTCTATTCAGGAAAGCTCCTTCAGCTCCAAAGGTGGCCAAGGCCCCAGACAATGAGGTCTAAAGCCCTCGGTGACACTCAGTTTACACAGTGTGAGAATAACGTCAGCTTTCAATTCACTCGCCCATGTAAGAAACTGAGCCCGATATTAACTGCAGTTTACACAGCTTTGCTGGCAGAGGGCTCCTGCAAGGATGCTGAAATGTTCATGCTGAAGCATTGGGTGAGTTTTGGAAGGGAAGCATAAAACAATCCCTGGGTGACAAACACAGCTTTCCAAACCAAGGGAAAAAACCTGAAAAAATATTTTTGTTTCAAGTTGAGCAGAAGTGTAACTTTCCTTGGCTTTTTCTAGCAAGAGGGCAAAAAAAGGGAAGAAATATTTTATTTGGAGACCTTTTTTTCCTATTAAGGCAGACAGTCTAGTCATAGAATTCTTGCTGCTTCTACATTTTCTTCTTTCCATTTTTTCTCTCTTGGACTAAGCAAATTCAACAGAAATCCACAAAAAGGGTTTCTTTGGTCTTTTTTCCAGTAAACATTATTTTTCAAAGTATAAAAAAATAACCAAGAAACTTCAGCCAGCTTGAGTTCTGTGGGAAGTTCCCAAAGTACTGAACACTCATCACAGGTACACTGACCTTTGTGGATTAAATAGGGAGATGGTAGCCTATGGCAGAGATACCAATGACAACATGCAACAAGATTTTTACAGGATATGACACAAATCTGTTCTGGGAGCCACTGCCCTTTCTCCTACATACCCAACATCAGAGAGAAGGGGGATATGACATGTAGCATATATCTCCCAGCTTCCACCCAGCTTCTAACAGTACCTTGCTCCTCTTGGCCTGGAAAATTTCAGTGTGGCATGGTACCAGCAAGAGTTTTTCAACTAGGGGGTTCTAAAATACATGGTCACAGATCATTTTCTATGCTGATAGGAAGTCTTCCAGGCACTACACTTTCATTAATTAATTAAGACTAATAACCTTATCCTGGGTACTGACAGCAAAGTCCTTGCACATTTGAATTGCTGTGGGCAACGAGGGCTTCAGTGAATCACACTGGGGAACCTTCAATGTGTGGCATTTTCTGAAGGAATCTACCTTCAAATGGGAAATTATAAACGTCAACTGCATTGAGTGTATATGTCAGCTGTGGTAGTGGACAAAGCAACAAGCTTCAAGGAAAGTAAATTACATCCTGCATTGTGCTGACAGGGGCTGCCAGGGTGAGGAATGGCTTGGGACTTTGGATCAGAAGAAATAAAAGAAATGGGTCAGCTCCTGCTGAGAGATGGTTCAGGGGCAGTAAGCACTCCACACCAACAGTACACACAAGGCATGGGTGAAGATGCACTCACAAGAGCAGTATTTTACATTCATTTCACATAATCCCATTCTCCCAGAGCCCCTAGCATGAGATGGTCTTCAAACATCACTGTGCTTTCCCACATCACAGCATAGCTCAGATCCATTTCCAAAATCAGCTCTCCAGAACAGCATATCTGCCTCTCTTTTCTGGATATCCAGCATCTACTTAAGAGCTGTTCCCATTTTACAGATGGGGAAATTGAGTCACAAAGGTGGGACCTGAGAGAGCTGAGACTGCAAACCTGTCTGCTTCTCCTCACCCACCTACATTTGATAAGCTGCTCTTCTGCCCTGACAGAAGGAAACATAAATAGGTCAGATATTCAAACAGGGCAGCATCCTTGAAGTCAGAATACAAATTTTCCACTCCCATCCATATCAGCTCATTTGTTCAATTGTCAGATCTTCAAGGCAGAGATTTGGGTTTGCATTTATGATATTTGACCTGCGGGAAAACTCTGTGTACATATATGGTGTGATATAAATAATAAATGAGAGTACCGTTGGTATTTTTCTATATTTAGCAAACGCCCTATTTTGCTGGATTTTCTTGGGCTGCAGGGGCCAATTTAGAGCTGCCACTTTCTCATGGCATCATTCCTGAAGGCAGCACAGATCTTAACTCCATGATGGCCAGTGTGGCGTTGCAACGTCAAAGAGCAGACCAAGACACTCCTATAAAAAGCAGACAGGCCACCACAAAAGTCTCTGCTGCACTCCCAAGAGCTGGATCTTTATGTCCTCAAATGCTTTTTATTTTTTTTTTTTTTTTTTTTTTTTTGCAGCTAAGCTCTGAGTCACCAGGAAGTACAACAGGGAATTCCAAGCAATCAGTTAAGAAATGCCAGCAAACTGATGCAAAGTGACTAATTGAGCCGTTGCATCTTTTGTAGACCTGTCATCCTGGAATTGCACATACCGCATTCAGAAAGAAAACAATCCTGACACTGCTATATCCAGCTTTAATCATTTCACAAATGCAAGTTAGAAGTAAAAAAAAATGGAAGAGCTGCATCACTTCAAAGGGCTTTACTTTCTATACCTTATAACTATCATGTAGCAGAATACTTTCTCTCAAAAAAATTGAGCAACCGCTTTGGGACACCCAAGAGGACATCTAAAATAACTGGCCAAACTTACATCCTATTCCCACTGAAATTCCTAAAGATCTTTAAAATAAATAAATAAATAAATAAATAAATAAATAAATAAATACACTGCAGAATATATTACAAAAACAAATTTATCTAAACCAGTCAGTATCTCTCCCAGCATTAAAGAGTTGATATGACACCAAAATATACTTGAGCAGGAAAATCACACTAGTCAGAAGAGGTTTCCAGAGTTCACCTCTTCCAACCTGATGCTCTAACAAAGGCCAGCTTGGGTTAAGGCCTTGTTTAGATGCAAGGATTACTGTCAGGGCCACAGTAAAACCTTTGGATTGCAAGGAACCCTAATGACATAAACTGAATATCCTACCTGGAAAGGGTTTTTCAAGGAAGTGTCCTTTGATAGTTTGGTTGGCTGAGCCCAGCTGGTTGGTGGCCACAATCGTGTAGTTGCCATTGTTGTAGTGAGTGGGGTTGTCGAAGAGCAGGCAACCCTCAGACACTTCCCCTTGCTGGTATAACTCCACGCGGATGATCTCTGTCTCCCGGAGCACCTGGCCGTTGTGCAGCCAGTGAAGGGTGGGAACTGGGTTCCCTTGCACTGCAAACGCAATGCAGTGGTCCAGGTGTCGCACCGGCTCCTCCAGAGTAAGGATGCGAGGGGGATCTAGCAGAGAGAAACATGGCAGGCTCACAGCACACCTCCACCCCACGTCATGTCTCTGTGCACCACGGAAACTAAGGTTATTGACAATCTCCAAAATCCCTCGTTGCTTCTACTCTTCCCAATGGGTGTCTGCAAAGAAGGAGCCCTGTCACAAGAACCACTCCACACTCCCTGAAAGGAGGATCTGAGCCAGAGCCATCTCTCCTGGTCTTCTGAACAGGGGTACAAATTAACGGCAAGGAGGTCCTTTCACCAGCCCAGGAACAACTAAGCTTGGAGCTATACAGTCCACACACTTACTGCTGCTCTCCTCCTCCCAGGGGATCACAGGGAGGCTGCCTGTTCCCGTTAAGGAGGACACCACAATGTAGCACTGTTACATTACACAAGTGCAAGGTCCCCATGGGAGCTCTCCAGTCACACCAAGCAATTTTGGATTGCACTGCTGTGGAAGCAAACATCCCTCAGCGACCGCCTGTCCTTGAGGGTTTTGACTGCCTGAACATCCCAAAGGAGTTCTCACTCACCGAACAGCCTCCAGGGGTGTTTAATTAAAGGGAGTAGAGTGGGAGAGGGATAAGAAAAGCAGCGACTCCACCTGCAATTTATTGCATATGCATTGTCTTCCCCCTGGGACACCCCAAGAATTCAAATGTTGCTCTGCTATTGCTTCTGAAACCCCATTTACAACGCCTACATGTAAGGTCCCAAACCTCAAGGCTGGCAAGGTCTGAACTAGAAGAACAAGTTTTGTGCAAAGATAAAGGACACAAAGATATAAGTCTTCCCTAAAACTCTTCTTTTCCTGGTACCATCCAGCTGCAAAGACAATCCATGGGGCATCCACAATGAAGAACAACAACACACCAGCTTAGACACATTGTTTGGAAAAAACTCTGAGTTTTTCAGGCAGTGAATGTTGTAGAAGAAAAGAAGATGCAGAGCTGGTTGGAGATGAACAAAATTCTCCCACCAGCACCCATCTACCCTGAACCACACAGTCATGTCCCAGCCACCTTCTTACACTCACAAGCCTAGATCTGCATGTGGCTTGTTCATATCTTCCTGGCAAAGAGGATTCAAAACAGGCAGCCACCTACACGCACAAACCCAGATCTTTTCAGTGTGAAATTACAGCCTTGAGTGATGGGTCTGGGCAACAAGAGCAGGGGTAGCAGAAACTGTCAGCAGCTTAGAGAATTTCACAGGTGAAAATAGGCATGGGCATGGTGCTGTTTAAGGCATGGAGGAAAAGATGCTGAAACACCGCGCAAAAAACCTGCGCCTGCTGACCAGTCACCTCTGAGCTGAGCTTTAATCACCTCCATTATTCAATCCATCAATAGCACTTACTGGGAGGAAGATCAAAGTAGTAAAGTATCATGCAGCATGCATGGGTTCACCAAGACTACTCGAAATCCCACATGGGTCTCCACTCTACCTGGTAAGGGTGGGGGTGGGGGACAGATTTTCAAACTACAGAGTAAGGGCAAATATTACAGACACAGCAAAATATAGTAAATCTCAGCTGCTTGAGACCACAAAGCTGTGTAAACTTCCTCTTAAGGTCAGGTTTGTGTTATGTTATATTAGAAAGCACAAAGAAAGTTGAGCTACTTGCAGATAAAAGTGAACAGTTGAAATTTTACATGCACACATTTACGTGGCATTTGCAGGCCAACTTTGAAGGAATGGACCTGGGGGAAGCACTAATATCCCTGAAATCAGTGGCAAGCTTTAAACTGTCTTTAACAAGGGTGTCACTGAACCTCTCACATAGCATCAGGGCAATCAACTCTGTATTTGTAAATAGATTTTTAGTCCCTTTATTGCTTTTTCTTATTCTACTGGATCTTCCAAGAGATGAGTGGAGAGATGCCCACCACCAGTGGGGTATTGGTGCTCCTCCCCTGCTCTAGCGCTCATTTCTGGATTAATGGAAGCATCAGGGAAGCAAAATTACTGACACTTGAGAGAGAGGTGTGTGAGGATCCACCTTCTCCTCACTGTTCTCAGCTCCTCCTAATCCTCACTCACAAACCCAGTATGTCACAGGTAGCAAGTGGCCATGCACTCAGTTCCCAAGGCAGCCCCTCCAGCCTCTGTATGGACAAAGTCTCTCCAGTGGTACTTACAGTAGACGGTGAGCAGCACACTGGCATTGCTCATCCCCACCACGTTCTCAGCAATGCAGGTGAGCAGGAACCCGTTGTCCTCACTGGTGACGTTCACCAAGGTCAAATTGATGGCATGAACATTGGTCCAGTTGAGGTTGGTCTAAAAATCATAAAGAGAAATACAGACAGAAGTTGGTGTCTGGTGGATCCTTGCTTCCCTGCTACGACCCCCAGAAGAAGAGGATCACGCTTCCCATGTAAGATGTGAGGAGGTCTCAAAAACCCAAGGACAACTAGGATCTGTGTGAAGGGAGGTGTTCCGTCACCTGATTAAACACATCACATCCTATAAGAGGAACTACAGGAAGGGGAGAGCCATGGCACTGTAGCACTGATAAATGTGTTTTGCCTCTAGAAAATCTTGCTTAGCTGCCTAATTTAGCCACAGCTATTGCAGGCACCTCTGCAAACAGTTGGTTTCATTAGAGCAGACATGAGTTAATTCAATTAGGGATCACTGAAATACAAAGCTCTCTCCTCTTCCCTTTCCAGACATGGAAGGTTTTGCTCCCTTCTGTTAGCCCCCAGGTTCTCATGGGAGAAAGTAATGGGTGATACAACCATTTCACATTTTTCACAGCAGTCTCTACCATCTACCCGAATGCTCTGCCCCGCACACACAGACCCGGGGAAACCCTGGCAGCTGCTTTGCCCCTGCCACACAGGGCACAGGCAGCACTGAGGTCCTGTGGCCCCTACCTGGTGGGTGTTGATGGAGTGGAGTTCGGCCACCGTCCAGTCGACGTCCGGCAGTGGCGATCCTGAGCCGTTACAGGTGATGACGGCGTTCTCACCTTCCCGCACCGTCAGGTTCACGTGGCTCACGCTGATCTCAGGAAGGTCTAGAGGAGCCAAATACCAAAGTGCTCAGGTGTGGTGCAGCGTTTGCTATAGCCAGACACAGAACACTCGTGTGGACTCAGATCCCACCAAGCTGTTTCCCAAATCAGCCTCCAGCACCCTGGGATAAGTAGCAGGAGGTAACAGCATGGCCTTGTGCTACTGAGGGAAAGAGGGATGCTGGACACAGGGGGAAATGTAGATACTGGAAACGTACCAGCTGAGCAGACCCCCTGATCATCTTTGAATCCAAAAGTTAGTGCCCAGTTCTGGCTACCCTTCCCTTCATACAACCGCCATCCCCATCTCGCTACTCCCACAGAAGTTGCTCACAGTGGCAGTAACCTGGGATTAGAAAACTGTACTGCGAGAAGATCCAAAGCATTCCCATATCCAGGATAAGGCGCAGGGCACCCAGCACTCCAGGTGAGGAAAGTGTCCCTCTAATTTATAACAATCAAGAGAAGATGACCAAGGATGTGTCCTCATATTAACTGCAGCTCTCCTAGTAAAAGGTGCCCTTGCTCTTCCTTGGTGGTAGCAGAGGGATTCACTGATTTATGGCGGTTCTGATTTACACCACTTCTTACTGCCCCAGGCACCAAATATCCTTGCAACATGAAACAAGACAGCACAGGCTGCAAGAAGGGCAAATAGCCTTCTTGCATAGGGGAGGTTTTCTGGGATGTTTTCAGAGGCAAACTGGGGAGGCAGGGCAGAAGGGACCAGTGGTCCCCTCCCATCATAGGGCAGGAGTATCCACTACAAGAATGCAAAGCCATAGATGGGGACACATATTCTTTTGTTGCCATCAGGGAGTCACAAAAGGAGGGAAGGAACATTGTACTGATTGGGGGGATGCCAGAAGAAAGGAGGCAGTGGTCAAAGCCTGGCAAAGTTGCATATGTGGTAGGAATCAGTGGAGAGGGAGATGGGAGGGACATGTATGGTCTTCTCAAGGTTGAGCTGGTATCAAACATGGCCACATCAAGCCACACCAGCCTTCAGCACCAAAGGACAAATATTGTTACAATATCCCCTGAGTCTTAATGCTTGAACAGAAAGACTCTCCTCTGGAGGAAAGCAGACCAGTGTAGCTCTCTGCCCTTCCAGAAGATTGCATGGTCAGAGGAGGTGCTCATACTGGACACAAGCACATTTGTGTTCCCAAATCAGCCTCCTGCTAGAATCTCCTAGAGTCTAATACCACCACTGATGGAGCCACCTCTCCTCATGTCCCTGATCCCTAAGGATTTTTAATTTTTTTTGTCTCTAATCCCTGAAGCTTATTCTTCCCATGTGGGGCAGAAATTACAGCACTCTCAAATCTTTTTAGTTCATCCACATGAAGGCACACTTTGGCCAGTTTCCAGAGTTTAACAGGCCATCATGAACTTGAAAAAAAACAAAACAACAAAAAACCCCAAGTCATGCAAATCCAAACATGCATGCTGTTTATCTACTACTGCTACAAGTAACAAAGCCAAATTCCTAGTATAGAGGATGATCATCAAAAAAAGAAATCCTCTGGTTTTCATCCTTTTTTCAGCCTGTGAGTTTGACAGCTGCTTGCGTACAGGCAGTTTAATTGCTCTGCAGAAGGTACATCTCTTTCTCCTTACTCTGCAAGGGATGCTTTCCAGTAATGGCAATAGCAGAGCAAAAACTGACACCAAACAGGCAACTGATGCATGAACAAGGTGAAGGAAAAAGGGATAACTACTGAACATGCCTCATTTTGCTCCTGGGGCCGCTGGACTCTTTTAAACATCAGCAGGAAACAGAAAGAGATATAAAGTCACTTCCCTACAGATATGGGATTTCAATTGAAAAATAAAACAAAGGAAAATGAATAGAGACATGCATTTCCTAAGAGTAATTATAAAAGATACAGTGGCAGTGTCTTTTAACAATATGCTGTTTCTAGGATTTGTTAGACAGAGGAAGATCAACATGAAACAACCCTTTTCAAGACATCACAGGCTCACCACAGACACTTTGTCAAGCAGCAGCATTGCAGTGAAGAAAATGCCCCAGATCACCCAATATCTTTCATACACACACTAATAGCAGTCTCGCATTTACCCAGATACTCTATTTATAATCCACAAACTACCCCAATCAGCTTCCATCTTCTAGTTCTTGACCACATGGTGGGATTCTGCTACACCAGGCTCCCCAGCAAATAACTTAACCAGCAGTGCTGGGTAGCACAGGGAGCCCTCCTGGCACCCTCTTAGCCTCCCTCACGTGCAGCCCCAGGATTCTTACCACACTGGGTGATGTTCATGTCCTGCAAACGGATGATGGCTGCATCCATGGTCATGCAGTAGAGGCCCTGGTGCTGCAGGTTTGCCTCGCCCTTCTCCTGCCAGAGTTGGATCCAGCGAATGTCACAGCTGCAGTTAAAAAGGTTCCTCTCTAGTCTCCTGTGGGCAGAGAGAGGTGAGAAAGGATGGTGGGATGGGGAAGAATGAGTAGAGCCATCGCCTGGCTCCAGGCTCCCATGGGAAGACAGACACCATGCAGGTGTAAGAGCTAAGGTAGAATCGTCTCCATGTTATTTGCTTGGGGTCTTCTGGCACTTATTATTCCTGTCTTTTCCACAGTTACACATCCATGCATTCACAGTCTCCTTCATGTGGGCACACAAGGCTTTACATCTCCCAGGGCAGCACAGGGATACACACAGTGTCTTCCACCGCAAGATCTGCTCAGCTGTGGCTCAGTCCCACAGTCATCCAGACACCCAGAAGAGTCACCCCTCAGCAAAGGAGCAGGCAGCTCCCCACTGCCCTAAAATATCAATCCACACCTTCAAATCCCACTTCAGCAGCAGTCTAAGCCCCTGCTGGGCAAAGCACACCTCCAGCTCCCACAAGCACTCAGAGAAGCTGGCAGCTCTTCTCCCAAGTTCCTTGTACAGACACAGGCTCCTGGTGACCCAGAACATGAGCTAATGTGCAAGGTAACATGCATTTTAATCAAATCAATCAGCACTGCACCGAGACCCTGCTGACCTGGCCAGGAGAAATGGAGAAAAGCACTGCCTTTAATGTACTTCATTTAAATCACACTTACACACAGTTTATATACCAGGAATGTTTATTATAATTGATTTTCCAACCTATTAACCATTTCATTTACATTTTTAAAGCTCTGCAGCTCTCTGTGGACATGCAAGGAAGGCAAGGAGAAGAGCCCAGTGTTCAGCCAGGGCAGACTGAGTTACCAAAGCAGATTGCAATGATAACTTGAACAAAATAGGAGACACAGCCTGAAGAAACAAAATATCTCGCCACATAACTATAAAGCAAAGAAAGTAGGGATCAGCGGAGCCAGCAGTGCCAAAGATAAGCTCAGTCACCCCAAAGAAGGGTCATCTCCAAAGGTCAAACCATTGCTTCACGTGATATCTAGATCCCCCATCAGAGAGGAAAAAGCTTTTTTTCCTGCTCTGTTCCACGTGTTACTGCAAAATTCATGCTTGCTTTTACAAAATTAATTTCACCGAGTAACAGGATTTGGAAACAACCTTCCAAACATCTGCAGCTGCTGTTTTGTCAATACTGTGCTGCAAAAGGAGGAAGAAGTGAAGGGATCTTCTGGTAGTACCTGGGGTTGTTAAAACTGAACCCTAATCTTCTCATACATCAAGATGTCATCTTACTTTTTTTTTTTCCCCAGAACAAACACTGAGTTGAACTTCACTCCAGTTTTTCATCAGTTAATTTCTTTCCCACCAAAAGCACATAAACCTCTGTGACACAGGTACAAGGTTCAGACAAGCAATTCAAAGGCCAAAGCACTACATTTAACAGACCAGAACAGATTAGCACAGTGATTTGGTGGGATTTGAGTGATGAGGCATTCCCTGTGTGCTATGACAGGTACTGCCAGTGGTGTGCACATGCTTCACAACCTCTTCTACACAGACATGAATCCACTTTCCTTTCAGGATCACTGCTACCAGCAGGACAAGCATGTGGGTAAGAGCCGTGGACTTGGCTAATGGCAGATCAGGTAACCAGGGACATACCCTGGGACCTGGCAGGGAGCTGGGGGAGCTCAGATGCAATGGGGGAGAAATTCTGCTCTGCTGCAAATATCCTCATGAAACGAGGCTGCCAGGAGAGCTGCTGTCCTAGCACTTAAGGGCAGCTCTGTAAGTAATAGACAGCAGCTTTCCCAGCCCATTGCTAATTCATGAACGGCCATGAATAATACAGGAGCTGCAGGCTTCAGGGCAGAACTTCCCCACAACCTGCCCCAATGTTAGTGATGTAACTTGCTCTAATCGAGACCCCCACAGGGGCTTTTGCACAAATTAACTCCCATCACGGGCTGGATGCACCAAGTGCCACTGGCAGCTGGCACAGCACCGCAGGTAGAAGGGGCACAGATGTGCGCACCCGTTTTCCCTAGCATGCATTGCAAAAGCACTTCTGACATGGGGAAGGCACCCTCCCTCCTTGCTTGATGCCTGCCCTGCCATGCCAGCCAGCTCTCCAGAGAGGTGTGTAGGGATTTTCATTCTCTCACTGTTCTGCACCTGCTCAAAAACCTGGATCTCCAATTCTCTCCTCAGACCTCATCCCTTGCAGGGATCATTAGGAGCTGTAGCTCCTTCCAGCTCTTCCTCCCACATTTCTGTAACACATCTCCACTACCTACGACCCTCTGTTTGTGGAGATAAAATTCACCTTCTCTTCTCTGCAAAGAGGAAAATACCTTGGGAACCACAAGGCAATAAAACCCACCACTGGGCCAAAAGACATCACCGTGTGCTGCAGAAACATCTCCCATCCCATGGGTGCAGTGGCACTGCAGTGAGAATTAAGGCAGGCTCCTTGTCATGGGATGTATACAGCACAACTTACTCCTGGAGCAGACAAATAAACCCAAAGGGCTTTTTTTTTGCATGTAGCCTGCAATTATTGCCAAAGCCTTGGTTGGTTGCAGGTGCTCAGGATTGGTGCACACTCCCACACCCTCTTCAAGCCTCCTTAAAACTGAAAATGCCTGTAAGAAATAGCAAGTGTCACAGCCACAAGCAAGCTGGGCTCTCTCTGCACAGAGTTGCTCTGTGACTCAAGGAGTTGGCCCAAAAAGAGATGAAATCTGCACATAAGCCTGAGCCATCCACCAGCCCCAGGCAAAGCAGAGGCTTCAGTAGGGTGTGCTCTGGGCACAGCCCCTTCCCAAAACAGGCACACTGTGCTTTGGAAAGAGGAAAACTGTGACAATCATGCCCTGAACTGTCATTTGATGGGACAATGACCCATCAAAGCTGAAACCCTAGAGCCATATAGGCACCAAGTCAACTCTTCAGCAACAGTGATCCTACAGATGCCTGGCTGAGCCCACTTTTGCTCCCTACAGAAAGCTGTACCCACTGTCTCCCAAAACTGCCTGGACAGCCTACACCAGGGTGAACCAGTGTGGGAGAGAGATACCATCAGCATTCCAGTATGTACTGAAACAGACAGAACTTCACACACACTGAGCAGTTTTTTTCCAGACTAGGCAGCTAAATGAGACACATGCCTTGTCCCATGCCTCCCCACTCATCAGCTAAAGCAAAGCTGTCTGCAGCTAAAGCCTCTCAGAGGGCAGCAGAGATCCTTGCCACACTTCTCCTGTCTGTTTCAATTCACACAGAACTGCTGCCAAGGTTTTTTGCACTTGCAATTAAAACACTCTTCCTACCTTGGGACTGAGGCCACTTGCCTAAGCTTGAGAACCAAAGAGCACTCAGTAGAGAGAGAACAAAATCTAGTTTTGTTTTTCATTTCTATTTATTTCCCAGAACCAGGGCTTCTCTTGATGTTCCAACCAGAACTGTTGCTTCCGAACCCCTGCCAGAAGGGGATAGAATAGAAAGGGAAGGACTCAGACAGGGAGTGATGGCTGGTGTTTGACATCTGGATTAGCTAATGCAGAGAGCAGGCAAGTGCCCGCTGTTTAGCTACAGCTCTATTAGTGGGACTGTTGGCAGGAAGAAGTTTCTAAGTTAGAGGCAGAGACAATGCTAAATTGGACTCACAACATTAACAGAGATGCTGCTGTGCCCCATCCCCACCAAAGCCTCTTCCTGTAGCACTGCAGAAATATACTGCAGGGCAAGTTGGCAGGGACTGTTGGTATTAGAAATGCTGATGGGCCAGGCAGAGTGGCAAGATGTTCAGGACTACAAGGTTTTATACAACCAAAGGCGTAATTGGATCCAGAGTCTTAGGTCTTTCCGGGAAGGAATTTCTTGAAATGTCAGCCCTAAGCTCTCTAAGGATATGACAAAGGAAGCCAAGGACATGACAGAGGAAACCAGCTGTGACTTCTGGATAAGAAAGGCTCTAAGTCCAATGTTTATGAGCTGTTGCATGTGTCAGATGCTTCCCTGCACACACTCAACTTCAGACTTAGGAGAGTTCTGTGCTCATTAGCCTGAGCCCTGCTGGTCAAGGTCAGCCCGTGCTGTGGGAATTAGGGCTGGAGTTACTGGAAACCATTCCAAGCCTTGTTTCTGGCCAGAAAGAGCAAGAGATAATATTCTCTGGAAGGATGCCTCATTTTTGCCATCCTTTCTTCAATGAGTCAGCAGGGGAAAATCTCAGCTATGTTGAACAAGAAACTTTTCTTTAAAGCCTTACCACATTCATGAGCTTGTGATACCTTGGATGCAGCCAAGCAGCAGTTTCAAGCCTCAGGTTCCCATCCACCTCTCTGGTCTTCCTATTAGTCTTCTGAGCTTTCCTTCTCATTGTTCACTCTGAGTGGCTTTATCAGGTCTCGTGTTCCCTGGCAATCTCCATGTCACAGTCAGTTGTAGCTCCTCTCCTCCCAACACTCTCCTGGAGACAATTCTCCCATCAGTTCCCTCACCACATGCTCCACTGCTCCAAGGTGCCTTGTTGTAAGTCACAGTTTTAGCTTTGATGTCTATCCTCCCTCTGGATCCACAATTGCCTGGTAGCACAGGGGCACTGACACTCAATATAAGGTGCCTCTGGTGAGCCAGTGCAGATCTGCTTGTCCCACAACCCTCCACACTGCCCTAACCCTCTGGAGAAGACTCTTGCCAGCATTTCTGTGTCCCTGGAGTCTTCTAGACTCTCCACTGCTGTGCACAAACACTGCTGCTCAGTCTGCCTTCCTCAGGCTTACTGTCTCTGTATTGGTCTCTGCTGCTCACCACTTTCTCCCTTTCCAGAGAGTTTTGGCTCAACTTCAAATCCTTGGCTGATATCAATCTGCAACTCCTTTTCTAGCTTTCACCAGTGTTTCACACTCACTTTATGTGGGCCATATATTCTATCTCCTTCCTGGTTCTGGAAGCCTCTTTGGAGCTCAGTGTGCCAAAAAACTGTCTCTTACTCACCCTCTGCACTCTAAAAAAAAAAAAAATAAAAAATACCGTATTTCCCACTTTTGCACATCCATTAGTAATTCCTCACTATCTTTGAGGATTGCTTTTTTTCCACCAGCAGGTCCCATCCTTCTAGCACTGTGACCACCATGTAGATAACATATGCCTTTACCTTAATTCCCAACATCAATTCAGAGCCCGTACCTCAGGCTACACCTCTCAGACTACACCTCTGTGCTGCCTTCTTTCCAACAAATCCAAGGTTTAGCAGGACTGTTTCATGGCCCAAGGAAGGACACTGCAGGCACATCCCTCTGCCCCTTAAACACTGAGGTCCCTGTGGACATCAGGTAAAATATCCCTCTCCTGTCACGTTTGGGGAACACCATCATCACATTATTCTGGTAGTCTCCATCTCAGCTGTGCTTATAGGGATGGAGGATCCTTGATGACAAGGAGCCCAGAGAGGAACATCTGTCAGGAAGCACCAGTGACAAAGTAATTCTTCAGGAAAAATAAGGTTCACCAGGCTCTTACTCCAGCTCAGCCAACAGCAAGGCAGCCCCTGTGGGCAGGCACATTTGTAGGTCTAAATTGCTCACTGAAGCTGGTGCCAGGAAGTGGTTTGTCAAGACCCCTTTCACAACTTGGAGCAGGAGAGATTCAGCTGAGGCTCCTGCCCCACACTATGCCAAGTGTCCCTATGGGACACTGTGGACAACACCACATTGGTGTTGCTTTCCCACCCCATCACAACTTCCTACCAACCAGCCCTGTGATCTCCCACAGTTCTACAGGCATTATTGTTTCATTCATTGGGGCTTGTTATCTCCAAGAAAACAGCTCTGAGCACAGCTCCAACGCGAGCCAAGTAATTCAGCTCCTTCCCGCTTGCCTTGCTGTGGAGTGCTGGCCCCAAGTGACCCTGCTGACAGCAACCAAAGCCACCCCAAGCATGCCAGCTCCCTGCCAGGATCATCATATCAGGACAACACAGGTGTATACTTCATCAGGCAAAGTACCCTTTGCTGCCCCAAAAGCAGCTTCTCAATTCCCTTTTTGCTTGGTATTGGTTTTTTGAACCTGATGGGGGCTGGTAGACCTGGGATGGGCCTGAAGAAACAAAATATGAGCAAATGGAGCAAAGGCACATAAAAATGAGCTCCACTGGAAATATTCCCATTAATCTGCAGGCTCACCATTACCCCAGGCCCTGCCAGTGCCACTAGCTCAGGACTGCAGCCCCATTTGCTCCTCCACTCTTGGGTCTCTCCTGGGTAACAACCATCAATCTGAGTTTTGCCAGACAGCACAATGACAATAAGTAAAGGTCTAAGAATACAAATGACTCATGCTATTAAACTTGAAACCCGAGCCAGACTTGAAAAATATTTAGAGCTGTAATCAGTGAGGAGACAAATTCCAAATTCAGCATTTTAACTCTGCAAGCCAAATTTTCCCATCAGAAGGGCGTTTCGCTATTTTCTAATATCACTATTAGTATTTTTCATTTAACAATTTGACAGAAATAAAATACACTGCAGTAACACTAGTGATAACACACTTACTCCCACTTGAAAGACTGTCTTTATTCTTTCATAAGTCACTTCTAGCTTACAGCTCTATTGATCATTGGTGAGGATGAATGGAGCTTCCCAGGATCCTCTGGGACAAATCCTACATATATATTTTTTTATACCCACCAAACAACTATTTCTAAAATTCAACAAAACAGGTCATCAGGGCAACGCTCCATTGATTTCGTGTCCACTTATTCTTCAAGCACGATGCTGAATGCTCTATCAATAATTCAGCAGGCTGAAGGCCACCAGTGCCCCAGGAGAGTCACTATCTCACCATCTCCCACATCAGAGCTGGGAGGTGCCTCTGTTGTTAGAGAGCAAGAGAATCATTCGCCTAAAAATCCAGGCATCTTACAAAGCATGTCTACCAACTAAAGAAAAACAGTTATTCCTACCCTGCAACAGATGAAGAGCAAGTACTTGAAGAGATTCACTCAAAATCTGGCCTAGTAAGTATTTCTAATGTGATCCCAGAGTTAGTCAACCATTTACTACCCCAAGCATGACTTGTTCATCATCCCGACGTTAATTAGCCAGCTGCTGTGAAGTTAAAAGAGAAGCAGTTCTGCTCTGGTGCTCCTGTACCCAGGAAACCCTTCCAAGGATGGTGCTGCCCACTGGAGTTTTAGGTAATCATTCACAGGCTTCAAAATAGCTCTATTTGGATATCATTCCTCCTCTCAGCCTCCCCTCTTCTCCCAGGAGGTACCCCCAGGGCAGGACTTACAGTTCAGAGAGCCGCAGGGTCTGGAAGAGTTGCCATGACAGAGTGGTGAGGCGGTTCCCGGAGAGGTCTCTGAAAATTAACAAGAAAAAAAAAAAAAAAAAAAGAGAAGTAGTCACAGTAAATAGTTCTTTCTGCACGTGGCCGTACCACCTCCACAGATCTCATCGTCCTCCTCAACAGGGATGCCATCAAGCAGTTCAGCATGCAAGTTTAGATTTAATAATGAGAGATTTTAATGAGGACAAACCCAAATGAAAGTTTCTCATTTTACTTTTTTTTTTTTTTTTAAGGAGGAAAATGATTTATATCCTGCTGCAGTGTTAAGAAAAAAAAAATCCAATGTCTGATTCTTGCCCATGAATCTGGAGCTCAACCAACCATAAGCAAAAAGAACAAGTCTAATTTCAGAACTTGAACAAAAAATTAAGTAGAAACCTCATGTTAAAAATAGTAACAACCAGGTTCAAATGACAGCATGATGATTACCCAAGGTGTTATCAAATGATCTGCAGTAGCTGTAAGCTCCAGGTGTCCCAATATGACTGTGTGTTTCTTGCACCCAGGGGTACCACTGCTACAACAGCCAACAGCTCCCCATCCCTCTCTCCATCTGCCCAAACTTGCAAAAACATAAATCTCATCTACCTGGGAGAGCTTTGCAACCCAGTAGACATCTCTTCAGCTGAAAGCCAGAGAGGATGAAAGAGTGAAAAGCAACTGAATTAATTTAAAAAAAGAAAAAAAAAAGAAATGCGGGGTAGAAAAGCAGAAAGAGGAAAGCACTGGGTTTCCAACAGCATAAGAAGATGGCAATAAAGCACATTCTGTAGTGAGCAGCCTTCCCAGGGACACTCAGCCAGCCTGAGAGCCCCTGACCGACTGACCAGTCCATGGGGGAAGCAGAGAGATGGGCGGTTGCAAGCTCTGGGAGAAAACCAATGTTCCAATCTCTGCTGGCCTCCAGAACACACAGGAGGTGCTGCCTCACATCCTTCACCAAATCCATCCCCACTCTGAGCTGCAGGCAGGGCAGTTCAGCACAAGGCTGCAGACACCCTTCTGCCTCAGCCCTGCCTGCTGGGAAGAGCGAGGAAAGGCCTGGAGGTTCATTCAACTCTGGGCTGGCCAGGCAGGAGGTATGAGGCAAGGTGGCACAGCAGTGACAGTGGACAGCCCAGCTCTGCCCGACCCAGCCTCCAGTCCAATTTGTAGAAACATACTAAAACCAAGAGAGCAAACCCTTGAATGGCTCCTGCTGGCACAGGTCTGATGCACGAGGATTTGGGATGACAGATTTATTTGCTGCCTTACACCAGGTTGCAGCAAGGGAAAAGCAATTCTGTCCTGTCCCACACGCACAAGCAATGCTGTGAAGCCCAGAAGTCTGCAATTAGGAGTGGGGAAGCTGCTCACACAGCAAAGCATCGTCCCAAAGGCTCTCCACGAGCCTGGCAGAAGAATAATCCCAAACACCATGATGGCACAGTGCTGCCTCATTAAATTCTGTCTCTGCTTCACATCAGACTACCCCGCTGCGGAAACCATGGCAAACCACAGGTACCTTATTTCACATGACTATGATCCCACCATTCCTATGGCTGTAGACAAACTGCTTCCAGCCTCTGATAAAGGTGGCAAAAATGGCAGGTGAAGCTAAGCAGAGAATAATAAAAATATTACAAGACTCCATCTCTTATCCACCCCAGAGCACTGAGCACCTGGAAACTTTGCGAGGACAGATGAAAAGTAGGAGGGGAAGGAGCAGCTCACTGTTACTGAAAAGTGAGACAGTAAACTCCCTCCCCCAGCCTAGGGAGAAGAAGGAAGCGTAAAGGGGATGCATGGGAGAGAGGCAGAGATGCAGAGGAGGGAGTGAATCTCACTGGAATGTCCTTTCTCAAAGGTCATGTTTTGCTACATTAGGCAGAAATGTCAAGAGAAAATTGGATTCTGAAAGAGAAGAGAAAAAACAACAGGCTTTCCACGCAAATAAGGGAATCAAAAATAGCATGATCGTGTTATTACAATTTAGGACACAGAGAGATAGAGAAAGGATACAACCTCACTAATGCAAGGAGCTTTGCCAGGCAGATGTGCTCCGCTTCTCATCTCCTGCAGTCCTTGGAAACCAACTCTTACCACCTCTTCCCTTCCCCAGACAACAACCCACAACATTAGGCAAAGAGGAGACGGGTCTTCCCTTGCACACATCTGGCAGGAGACTCTGCTCTCAAATGGCAAAGCTGCTGTTCAATCTGACCTGACCATCAACTTACACAGGGCTGGTCAGGGCACACACACCCACAGCTGATTTCAGATCAGTCAGGACACACATGGGGAGGAATATGTTTATCATTGGAAACAGACACCCTGGACATTCAAAATGTCAGAAAGGTCCTTCCTCAGCCTCAGAGACAGATCTCAGCACAGAAACAGAAAGGAGTTGCACACAAACACACATTAAAAATACATCATTTCAATCACAAAAACTCCAAAGGTCAGAGATGCCAGGATTGGGATTCCACAAAGGTACAGCTACTGACTTTTGTTGAAAAAGATAGAGCTCCTCCAGAGAAACCTCATAGCACAGCACTGATTTCTCCCCAGAAGAGATCAATCCCACATGCTGGATGGGGCAGGTTTCACAGGGAAGGTAGCATGTGATTCTGTAATTAGAGATGGAATCACAGTACATTCACAGGAGGAGACTAAATTACAGCTCTACAGGTGAAACTCTGAGCTCCAGCACTTTGTAAATCCTGTTTGTGCTCAAACCTCAGCTGCACCAAGTTTCCCAGTGTCCTGTACAGCATAAACAGGGAGGATTGGGGAAAATCAAGGCACTTTCGGCCAGGGCTAGTTCTCTCCCAGTTCCAGTTGCCCATTCTGCCTTTTGGCAGCTGTTTCTGAAGGTCTGTGGCCACCTCCAAATCACTCGTTTGCAGTGACAAGAACCCCCATCCTCCTGTGCCATGGCTGGGCAGTGCCAGCTCTCTCCTTCCTGACCCGGTTGCTTCCCCCTCCCAGCAGGCTGAATCACACTACTCATTGCTCTCCAGCCACTCCCAAATACTTCTCAGCCTCAATTTCCTTATCCATGTCCAAATTTCCTGTGATCTTCCGTACTTTTACATCCTTCCAGCCCAGCCCCAGTGTCCAACAAGAACTGTTGCTCCTCTGCCCTATCTGCTCCCAAACATCCTTTATTAAACTTCTTCCTCCAGCTGGATCAAAACCCATTCTGCTGACATAAGATGTCCCAGAGCAAAATCAAGTCTTCCAAGCAAAATCTGCCCTTTGACAAAATTTCTTCCCCTCCACAAAAGGAGGATGCAGCTGCTCTGCAAGAGGAGCATCACCAGTATTTTCTAGTTTGAGCAAAACAGCTTGTTTTCCCCCCTCCTTTCCTCCACCTCAAGCATTATGTGAAACTAGAAAGAAATAACAATAAAATGTAGAATTCAGCCAGGAGCAGACACCCAACACAGAAAACTTCAGCCTGAGCAATTAAAATTTGGCAGAGTTATAGGAAAGTGGAAGCAGTCCTGCAGCAAAGTGTGCCAGACAACCTTTATAACAGCCTATGCACCAGCTCCACCTGTAATAAAATATGGCATATCACACATCAAGGAAACACAGGCAGAGGGAAGTAAAATGTCTTCCCTGCGTATTTCTCAATGATGAACAAGTCTCTCTCAGGACAGACCTGCCATCAGTGCTCCTGGAACATATTCAAACTGCTTCTTTGCCATGGGACATTTTCTCCATCACTCACAAGATGCTCTTTTCCACTGAGATAGTCTTTAGAAAAAGCTGCCAGGGTCTTTTTTGCCTCCAGAGCAAGTTTTAAAGGCGTTGGGGAGGGAGAAGGTGTTGGATGGCCCTCAGACCAGGTCCAGGGCAGCAACCACCTATCCCACCCATGACTCAGACCCAACACCACTCCACAATCTTCCTGCTGCAGCAACCATGCCCCTAAGGCTGCTGCTTTGCAGGTGGCTCATCATGCCCTATCTCCACCATCCTTCTCCAACAGCAACCCTCCCACACCTCAGACACAGGCTGCCATCACTGAGTGACAGCTAAATCCTAGTTCTTGCTCTCTCCCTCCATCCTTCTCCTACATTTCAGGAAGGGACATGCCATGTCCTGCACACTCTCCCACAGCTCCTGCAGGCACTTGCTGGTGACCAGCAGGGAAGGGGAGGTGACCTTTGCCATTTTGTCCCAGCACAAGTGACAGATGGGACCATGGAGGTACATCTGCTGAACAAGCTCTTGGGTTTAAAAGGGGATGTGTGGGTGTGGGACAAAGAGGAGTCTGGATCCGTGTGGCCCAGAACAAGGGCACTTCAGTGAAGAGGGGACAGCATGGGGTTTTTTTCCCTCAATTAGCCAGCAGCCAAAAGTGTTTCCACTATTAAAGCAATTTTTATTCAGCTAAATTAAGCCAGTTGCCTCATTAATGACACCAACAAGCAGGAGCCCCTGTAATTAAACTGTAAGTTATTTTATGCAGTTCAGCTCAACGCAATGGCAGAAACGCTGCTGCTGGGGAGGGACCCTGCATGCCTGTGCCTCCTCCACATAGTTTCATCCTCCACTCGCCCTTGTTTCCAACCTGACACGTTTATTTCTGCATGGGAGAAGTTTTTCACACGTTTTAATAACATGGTGCCACTCTGAAAATCCTGACTGCGGAGGATTAACTGCACAGAGCAGCTGGGGCTGAGGGAGCACGAGTGACTGCCTGGCAGAAATGAGGAGAGATGCACATCCTCAGCTGTGGTCCCCAGCGCTGGATATGCTGATGGCACTGCATGGAACTCCCTTGATATCTGGGCACAACAGGTGCTTCCCATCATCTCACAGCTCGCTGCAGCCTTAGCTGGGTGTTGATGGCCACAGGAGAGGAGAATGTCAGCAGCCTCACACGCTGTTGTAGGGGCAGCTCCATCCAGGCTTCATATCTGCAGCAAGTAAGCTGCTAAAGCTTTGGGTTTGAACCAGACAAATGCTGGAAAGTTACTCTGGGGCTTGCTTATCCCTGCCAGATAACTCCAGTGACC